TAAATTCAACGAGATAGCAAGGCCTCTCTATAGGTAAGCAAAATTCAAGTGGTAGAATCAAAGAGCTGCCAGTGCCTTGTAGGTGGTTAACAGTCTTGACAGACGCGAGTGATCATGGCATAGGTGCCGTCTTGAGATAAACGGACGGGATTGTTGGATATGCTAGCCGAAAGTATTCTACGGTGGAAAAGGAGTGTTTAGCCACTGTGCGGGCATTAGAAAATTGGAAACCACAGCTGGTTGACCTCCGATTTCACACTGAGGCTGACCGCAAACTTCCGCAGTGGTTAAAAACAGAAAGGAACCTATGAGAAACGTTGTCACAATGGATGCAACGGCCACAAGAGTATGATTTCACGATTGGATGTATTCCAGGAAAGGAAAATGTAGTGGTTGACTATTTGTCCAGTTCAGATTATGAGGCTGAACTACCTGAGGTAGCATATTCAGTAAATGCTTGCAGGGACATCCCTTGCAACTTGTTCGCTGCCAGAAGTCGGGTCCTACTCTTAATACAGTCATTCAGATGATAAATGAGGGGAAATAAATCGAGACGTCAGCAGCGAATACGGAGTTGAAGAGGTCGCTGCATCACGAACTTAGACAGAAACTAAACGCTTCCTGTCCCCTAACTTGGCAAGAATATTATGGTAGCTGGTTTATGGTGATGCCAAAGAGTCTTCGTCGTGAGGTAATTCACGGATGTCACCTACTAGTCCATACAGGCGTTGCGCGGACTTACGATCTAGTGAACCAAAGTGCATGCTGGCTAAATATGAGAAGCGATATTACAAACTACGCGCTTGCTTGCCCGCAGTGCAAACTGATATAAGGTGATCAGTGAATTTGACCACCGTTACAAACAATTCCCGCATTATCATTCTGTGATTCATGGTCGTTGGACATAATGGGTCATTTCCCCCAAACATTCAGTGGAAATCAATACATTTTGGTGATGACGGAACACTCCACGACGTGGATAAATACAGTAAGGATCAGTACATCAAAATCGTAACCAAGGCGATAATACTGTGGAGGATCATAGTGTACGAAAGATGATATTGACGGATCAAGGTCTCTGAGCGGTTCAGGACTACCCTGAAGACAGTGGATATTAAAAATTAAAGCGACGGCGTGTTAAACGGCCTAAAAGAATGGTACAATCGTGCACTCAAGAAGTGGCTATCTGAGAATAGAGGCAATTGGGAAACTGACCTACCTCTGGTATTACTGACATATCGTGCCACAACACGGGGACAACCAAATATTGCTCTTTCAGCTGGTGTATGGGAGGAGCCCATGCTTTCCGGTACACCATAAGACTTGACCACAACAACGACATTGGAACAGTAAGAGATGGACAGGTGAGCGGAAACAGGCTACTCAGAATGTACAAGAGAAGCCAAAAACCGACATCGAGAAAGCTGGCAAAAAACGAATCAAGGCTTGGAAGTATTTGGAATAGGCGACCAGGTGAGATTTAGGGAACGAAAGTACACAACTGGAGGCGGTTTAGGATCAGGAGAGCTCCTCCAAAAGTGGGAGGGACCATATGTGGTCACTGGACTTACTGGACATAAATTTATTTTACATCAGTCTCAGTGGTGCCCGATAGTCTTTACACAACCTGGCCCCTCTGGTTCCATGCAGTTTGATTTTTGGGCCCTTAACATTTTCTGTATAACCCTCCATTCCACTAGAAGCAAGTTTCTAACTCTGTGGTAATAACTGTCCTCATGCAGCGTTGAAGCTCGATATAAGTCTCTTTCCAACGGACAAACCTGGATACAAGTATGAGTCACTTAAATAAATTGGTCAGACTAAATGAGGGGCTCTTACGTCCTACTTTCTCCTCCAACCATGTAAAGCCCGTAAGCAATAGTGCTTTGAGCCACACAATACTGTACCTCCTCAATTATTCGAAAGAGACACCAACATCTTGAGAAAAGTCTCAGTGTTGGACGACAAAATATATCACGAACATTCGGCAAACCCCTATAATGAAATCAGCTCTTTTGACACGCGCTAAAGAGTGGCTTAGTCACATTTTCAAAATTATAAGTCATAGTAAGAAGGGCATACTTCCATTAGGTCATTGTGGACCCCTTCATATCAACACACGATGGAAATGAAATGATTGAATGCGTAACCATTCCCTTTCTCTTTGAATCTGTCAATCATGGAATTCCTTACCAGCATCAATATGTGATGCACCTTCAGCCGGTTATCAGCAAAACCCCAGGACGGACATTAACAATTCAGTTTCTGCTTAAGCTGCTTATTCACTTACTACCATAATAAATATTTCACATTTACGTATTCTCCATTAATTATTAGTTATTCTTATTCTCTGACCCTTCAACCATACTGGACGGTCAGTGAGTGGACAACTTCAGGTCATAGCAGAGCATGCTCTTAAAACACCACATTTTTTCCTTCACGTTCCCTGTGGAACATAGGGCTCCAAGCTAGAGGCTTGAAGTTTCTGTAGCAGTGTTAATTTTTACAGGATGGGGTTGCTAGCCTCATGCCCGACCTTTCTGCTTTACCAGTCTCACTGCTGGCTTAGCGAGGTAAAGGAATGCGTCTGTGGCCGGGGATCGAACCCCGGACCATGTGCATGGTCGGCGAGCGTCCTAACTGCTGTACCACCGACGCACAAAACATGACATAATACAGGTCAAATATAACTAACCACCTACATTACTACCTTATGAATCTAGTATAGCAACATTACATGAGTTGGGGCAGAGGTTCATGGAAGATCAACAACCGTCGTCTCGCAACTAATGGGCCAACCCGTTGAAAGAATATTGGACATTAAGCACTTTTTTATGCCTGTTAGTCTCATTTACAATTACCGTTGTTAGCGTGACTTAAACATATACAAGCGGTAGTTCAAAAACTTCAAGTAATTTGCAAAGTTCTCATAGTTCTGGATCTTTTAAGTTGCCATGCTTATCAAATTCCCATCTTTCTTATCTCGTTAGTCCCAGTTTCTCTTATATGCAGTGTAGTGTTGACCAGGCTTACGTAGTATATTATGGGTTAATGTTGTGTAGGCATGAGAAGTGAAATTTTGTTAAATTACATGGTAAAAGTGAATAAGTGAGCTCTAAAACAAGTGTGAATATAAAAGTTGAAGGTATGCATAAAAAAGTTTAGTGTTCCAGTGAAGGAGCGTAGACGGTTACTGTTTCCCTCCTACAAAGTACAGAAAAAATTTGGGGAAATTATTGAAATATAAAGGAGAAATAAAGAGAAAAAGGGGACATAATGGCAAAAAGAAGCATATCAACAGTGCGTTAAAGGGGGCATAGTCGCTATCTGGGCGAAGGGGATATTCTAGACAAGGTCTCTTTCATTTCCCCTTTTTGGTCCATCGAGCCTCCTATTTTTGTCTCCATTTCACTCACTGTTCCCCTCTTTTGTCCATTTGAGTTGAGGCGTATTTCTGGGGTTTCTTGAAGACAGATGTTGCATCTACTCGAAATTTTAACTCTGCTTTGCCTCAAATTTTTTATCCTTGTATAGTAGAATAGGTTTTGTACGTCTCTGAAGTTGGTAAGGTCACTAGCTGCTAGAAACGGTGGTTTGTGTAAAGGTGGTGTAATCTGTATGGTTTCGCGTGAACACTCTTAACATTAGAAAGGAAAATGAAACATGCAATATACTGTTCACATATAATAAAAGCACTCAGTGAGCTTCATGTTTTTTGATAATGTATGAGTCTGTAGTGTTTCCACCCATCGGACAGGACGTGTTATACATAATTACGTGCCACAATTGCTTCCGGTTGAAGGGAAAATTGTCTACATTTCAAACATAGGAACTTGCACGAGTGCATCGGTTCACAATTAGCCATACGGTAAGCCGTATGAGACTTTCTTTTGAACCCTGGAATGTTTGAGTTCCTTTATGGGACAAAGGCTGGATGTAGTTTCCTAGTTTTGGTCTCACTAGGAATGTGTATAAGGTGGTGAAGGTTTCACTGGTAATCTTTGTAAAGACCATGGGTTTCGCCCATGGGAATTCGAAACTTCAAGCTGCCACCATGCGACACTGTGTCATAGTTCTTAGGTCGCGACTTACTATGACACCTAGGTCCATGTGCGTATGAGCTGATGAGAGGTGTATTCCCGCTGTGTCATATGAGCTGACGCTTGCGTGTCCACTGTGCATGGTTGCATACTTCACTGTGTTGATCAGGGAGGGGGTCTATTCTAACAGTTTGTCGAGATTCTGTTGTGGCATAAGCACGTTGTCATAATCTTTGAGCTGTCCCCAAAGTCTTAGGTCATCTGCGTAGAGGAGCCTAGGAGATTCGGTTAGCCCATTCAATTTGTTGATATACAGGATAAATAAGCGAGGGCCTAGCACAGTGTCTGGTGGCACTCCACTATGTTCTTCTCTTGCTTCGCGTGCTACACGGAGTGTGGCGACTCGAACTTCCGCACATTTTTGCAAAGTTCTATGTCAAAAACAGACAGACAGCCGGGTGGGGAGTTTTGGTCTGACCCCGACTCAGTCTCCCACGTATGAGGAGTTCATTAATGCGGTTTAGGGACCCTATTTTGAATCTAGATCTATGTAGTTTCGTGAGTTCTTTTGTGTGAGGCACTTTCCCGGAAGCTTCGCTGAAATCTGTGAGAATGACGTTGTTGAGTTTCTCTGTCTCTGGACGTGAACTGGCTTTCACTGGCTGTAATGTTTGTCTGGCATTTTAGGTTTCCGCGATAGCCCTGCTATGCCTTGTAGAGAAAATAAATTAATTGAAGCTAGATATGGACTGAGATATGTCTTTGCATGTGTGAGTAGTTTGATCAGGACTAGTTGGGATTTTAGAATAAGTAGTGTGAAGGAGTCAATACAAATACGTCAGTGTGAACAGTCGCTGAACGTGTGGTCTAGCACTCTTAGGACTACCATTAGTCTAGACATCCTCATATGGCTCAAACCAAAAGTGATGGGTTTCACAAATCGTTTCCATCTATTCCTCGGATAACTAGTAGAGTTTTTTCAAACTAACCTTATATCACCCAGCATTGGTCATCGAGGAAGACGTTAGCTCAGCATGCGTACTTATCTTGGGTATTTCAATCGATAAATCAAAACATTGATGGTAATCGGTGAAACATGACTTTCGCTCGAAAATGCTTAACCTAATGAAAAATTCTTTGCAAAATAGGTAGCTGAATGTCTACTTCGTAATTTAGGCAAATTTATTCGTTAGTTTTGATTTTATGTCGAGGGCCTTACTCTGTTTTTTTCTTTTCTTTTTACCGTTGTGGTGTTAAACAGATGTATGTTTCTTGTGTATATTGACTGGTTGTCGCCTCATCATCCCAGCGTAGAATGCTTTTAAGTTGTTCGTATCTTCCTGCGAAAGCAGTTTCCTTATGAACTAAGTGGTTTGTAAAAACAAATAAGGTTTGTATTTTCGATGTGCCCAGTTAAATGATGATGTAACGTAGTGTATTGATTTGCGATGTGAGATTTTTAGCTAGTGAAAATTGTTTTGAAGTGTGGCTCATTGGTTTGGGAACTAGGCTTTCAGCCGATGGGTTGCGGGTTCGAGTTTTGCCCATCTATTTCGGCATGGGCGATTGGGTGGTACCATCAGCCCTCACACGACAAATGTGGCTCTTAGCCTGGTAATTGAGCTTAAATTTACGCAGTCGGAATTGTAGGATTGTGTTCTGAAGTGTACTTTAAATTTTTATTTACTTATACTGTCATTTCTGACGGTATTGTCATTTAAAGTGCAAATTACTAGGCTACGACAGTTGTATCATCAGGCTAAGTACTGAAGAATTTGGTGTGGTTTCTTGTAGTTAAAAATGTAACTGGTTTCTATTATTTCTTTGTTTTCGACTGGGATCTGGCTGTAATCCAGCAGTTTCACAAAGTGCTTTGTGTAGTAGATGTTTGTGTGATCTGGCGGTCAGTATTTTATGGCTCCTACACTCACCTTTTTGTTGTCTATATTGTCATCCTTTGAGTTCGTTCACTCATTTGTGATGTGTCTACCACTTTCGTATTATATTTTAGTATGAATCAGAGATGTGCTCATGTGTGACAAGATGTTTTATTAGATACGTCGTATGTATAACTACGATAAACTTTTCATTATACTTGGCAATGAAGATAGTGAATATAGATCATATGTTGCAAATGATTTTCATTATATGTAGTGGTTGGTATGTGTTCTACAGGTTTATTCATTCTCTGGATGCCTTCTTATCAGAATAGGAGTGAAATAAGAGGTGTTTGGCTGTTCAAATTGAGAAAATGACACTGATCCCTGAAGTTCTGACTGTTTACTTGAGTCCTATTAGTCTCGTGTTATGTTCGTCACTGGAGTATAATTGGTGACTGATGACTTCAGTTCCAAGGTTGTTCCCAGTAGAGTAAATACATCCACTTTGTCACTTACATTCTTGAACATGCGATTCTATTAAGCTTTTCTGTACGACTTAGTTTTATTCTTCTCATTATACTTTACTTTTTTGACTTCCTTTTCATGTATTTATCTGTTATATTGGTTTTTTCATAGTTGTATAGCAATTTAAACACAAGAAATTGTTTCCGTTTGTGTGTATCCTTGTTCTCGATCACTTAAATAGTATTGAAACGCCTATCTTGTTTGTTTTGATTGTTTTATTAGGTCCATCGTAGTCCCTACCAAAATCATCGATTATAATTGGCTTTACAAAACTGTAGACACTAAAATTGTTGTCGAGGTTTATTTCAACATTCTCCAAAACGTATATTGCTATCTAGTTAAGGATGACAGTTTCATGTTTAACAGAGCGTGATCATGTTACATACAGTGGTCGATTTCAAATCCTCCCTAACTCATTTAGCTTTCATCGTCAGTATACACAAATCTACTTGGCACGTTTAGCTTCGGCCAAGCCAGTTTTATCAAAGTTGGCTGAACACAAATGGACAAGTGCTGGTCGTTCTCATTTCCCTATTCGATCACTAGCTGATTTAAATGCTAATGAAATGTGTGTTATCATCGGTACAGTATTCAAGGTATGAGGTTTTCTTTATTCTCTGTTAATGTAGCGTAAAACTTCAAGAGTGCATAAAGCTGTATGTAGGCATTTATTTTAGAAATCTTGTAAGTATTTATGGGAGAAACCTTAAGCAATCCTGATTTTACGTCTCTGTGTGATGTAAATAGTTACACAACACTGACTGAGGTAGGAAGGTGAAACAAAATTCAATTTAGTCTTCATACAGACAGGTGTGTGTTGTTTACATTGATACAGATGAATATTTACATCTGTGTTTTAAGACTTGCTGCTTATGCCGAATGTGTTTTGATTCTATCTTCTCGTCTTTTTTCTATGCTGCTGAGAAATGTACTAAGTGAACACAAGTAAACCATGTGAGTTTACTTAGGGATAAGTCTAATTTGCAGACTATCACACCTTTTAAAAGAATGGAAGGCAAATATGCATTCGATAACTTGTATATATACAATAATAAAAAGAAGAGATTGAAAACACATTATAGAAATGTTGCGAAAAAGTATTTGTAGACATCGCTGGATCATTTGCATTTTTAGTGTTAACACCACCCCAATATTTTATCTTCAACACAAATGTAGTTAAAAAAACAACATACAAATTAATTAATAGTAGCTTGACAAGTATGTCAATTTCAGGAGGGGGAGATTTCAACATAGATTTTTTAAATTCAGGTTGATGTATAGTTGCTGAATAGGGAGAAATATCAAAAGAATGGGAGGTGAGTTTTCCCTATAGTCACGTATAGCATCTACAATGAATATCACATAAACGCTTTGGTCTTTGTCGATTAATATTTAATAATTTCCAGATTCCCAAATAGCAATTCAGAAAAACCAACAGATTCAGCGAAGAAATATTTTCGTTTCCAGTTAGTTCCTCATCATCGACTGGCTCTACACCAAGATATTTGGCTTTTTACATCAAAATTGTCTTAACCAATCAAGTGGTTACTGCAGTTAATCAGTTTTGTACATAGTAGAGGGGGGTGGGTGAGGGTCAAATTAAGAGGTTAAAATTCATCAAAACAATTAACTAATAGATGTTAGTAAAATGATATCTGTTTTGAAAGTCGGGTGAAATTAATTACGAAATTCAAGATAAGTTAGTTATTAGACGTTGACAGAAACTCTTTTTTACATGATTGAGAAATTTGTATTGATGATTAGGAAGAATTACTTAAGATACAAACAAGTTAATATAATTAACTGTACTTGTAAGCACGATAAACTAACAAAGCGAAAAGTTAGTTACAAAGGGAGGGGGTAATTCCTTTTAAAAAACCTAATACATATTATGTATTAGGTTGGCCATGACAAGGGAAGGGTCAGTACAAATTTTGTTTGAACACACAGATTTCGCCTGTTCAAGTGAATTCCGATTGACTGACTCTGCTGTATGTAAACGTCGTACTGGTAGACCATGCTAGAGGTTGAATGATATACGATAAATGACTTTAAAGGCTTTGTCAGAGTCGACTTGATATCCAGTCAGTATGGTATCGACGAGATGAACTGGTATTCAGCTGTGTGTGGCTTTATTCGGACGCTTGCCAAACCAGGATGGGGGGAGGTGTTCAGAAATTCGACAATGAACTTTCCTGATCGTACTCCCAGTGGAATTAGCTCCACATGGGTAGTATACATTGAAGAGGTGAAACAGGACAGTGTGTCTTCATTTCTTTAACTAAGTATTGGTTGGCTAGTGAATATACAGCGCGGCTTCGCTGCGTTGGAAGTCCTTTTGAAGATCCTTCTCAGAAGTTGTGATAAAATCTCGCTATTGATACTACCCGTGAATTGTAATCTTATGAAGACTGATCTTTTGGGAACAGTTGGTACCTTTGACTTTTCACTTTCTGAGTTCATGTATGTGTTCACGAATTTAGTCGGATATGTGTTTCTATTTAATATGTTACTAATATTACCGAGTTCTTCGTTCACTGTGTCATTTGATTTATTTAATTTATCAATTATATTGCTATTGAAGTTTTTCACGTAAAAACTCTTTTTTGTTTAATTATTAAGGAAATGCGTTTAAAACCAAGTGTATTACGTGATATTGCGGTTATGGAAACAGACAATGTTGGTTCAGAAAATCATCTCGCTTCAACAGATATCCAGTCAATGGTTCGCCTAACATCAGATGATGATTCACTTTACCTCGAAGATGAAGTTCAGCGTATTAATTTGTGTTTACCTAGTAAAATGTCAAAGCTTTGGTTACCAGCTAATTTGATTACCGGTATTGTCGTAGCAGTCCTTGGTCGTGAACTTGAATCTCAACCTGGTAACTGATGTGAAGTTAATGCTTGTTAACGTTGCATACTTTTTATGAATTCTTCATCAGATGTCAGATTTGCAGGTTGATCAGCTAGTGGTTTAACCTGCGTAAATTACACTCAGAAAACTACTCTAAAACACACTTATGCCCAGAAGTTTTAATCCACGTTACAATCAGAAGTGATTCCAGATACAGTTGTATTCACTGATGACGTTTCAAGCACAATTTATTGCTCACATTCCTATCAAAAGAATTACATAACTTCCAAACTTTGTGTATATAGTTCCATTATTTCTTATGCTTTGAATTTATTGGTAGTAATATTTCCCATTTCTCTGGCATTGGTCTCGCGTATTAGGTGTAGATTGAATGAACAAAGATTTGTTGTTCAGTCTCCCTCCCACCTACGTACATCACCTTTCGGATCTGCAGCTCTCTCCCACCTTATTGTGTGATTGTATGTCAGTGGATACATTGCGATTACTGTTTTTTCATCTAGGTTCTTCATGTTTGTTGGTTTAGACACCCTAGACTTGACTAAATTGGTATCTTCTGATAACCTGCCTGACTCCGACCTGTTGATCTGACCTATGTAGTTGACTTCACAATCATTGTAAGTTATTTTGTAGACTTATTATTAACTCGTCTGATTGGGTCAATAGAGTCCTCTATCTCTACAAAGCATGTCCATGAGTGAATTTGTAGGTTTGAGTGCCACCCTAATTTCTGCCTTATCAGGAACTTTGTATAGGATTCCAGATGTCTGTTCGTGATATGATGAAGCTGCAGATGCCTCAGATTTCTTATATATGCTATGGTTAACAGTTTCGCTATCATTATCCTCTTCTTGTGGGCTTTCCCAAACTTCCTAGTGAATTCTATTGTGGTGAGAGGAGGCTGCTGTCTCTGTCTGTCTGGATTCAACATAGAACTTGGCACCGAAGTGCACCAGTTCGAGTTGCCACGTTCCAAATAGCACACAGAGGTAGACAAGAAGATGAGTGAAGAGAATCAATAGAGTTTGACAAGTATAAGAGTGAAACAGAATGGGTAATGGTAGAAAGGAATATGAAAGATTACAGAGACTGAATACATCTGCCCTGGCCATTGACAACGATTTTGAGCCATGTCACCTATTGTCTCCAGCCATTGATTCCTAGAGTCCCGAGGCCCCCGACCCGGGAGTCTGCATCTCCCTACCTGACTCAGTTTAACTGTCAAGGATTTCATGGATTGATGAGGCCATGTTTTTGTTTGGCCACCACTGGCTCTTTTCCAACCTGCACCTATATCAGCTAGCAATGCCCGTCGGGGGAGGCGGTGGTTAGGCATGCACAGCACGTGACCTAGCCATCTTAGTCTATGTAACTTTATAGCCTCGTCGATTGATTTTCCCTCTTTGCCCAACACTCTACGCCTAACGTCAACATTACTTATCTTGTGAAACCACCTAACGTGAGACAGAGATCGCAGACACCTATGATCGAAAGCAGTCAACCTTTTCATGTCTTCAACTCGTATTGGCCATGTTTCAGAGCCATAGAGAAGGACGGAGCGAACTGATGAGCAGTACACACGTCCCTTGGTTGATAGCCGGATGTCACGCCTACGCCAGAGATGGTGTAAGTCAGCAAAAGCAGCTCGAACTTTTCGGATCCGTGCTGAGATTTCATCGCCAATCAGTCCGTTGGTGCTAATACAACTTCCCAAATAGGTGAAGTGGTCAACATGTTCTATCACTTCACTCCCTATCACTAAGTTAGGAGTTGACGTGGTCCAGTCCTGTAGCAGCATCTTACATCTTGTAGGGGCGAATCGCATGCCAAACATACGGAGATTGCCGCTCAAGGTGTTCAGAAGACTCTGCATTTTGTCAGCATCCTCCCCTAACAGGACTATGTCATCTGCATATTCTAAGTCCATTAGATTATTCCCTGGTAACAAGTCGATTCCTAAGTCATTACGTTCAGTTAAGGATACTTCCATCAGCATATCTATGATGAAGTTAAACAGAAATGGGGAAAGTGGACATCCCTGTCGGACACCACTGGTTGTTACCAATTCAGATGACAATTCCCCATAAGCCCTTACACGACTACGTGAGTTTGAATAGAGTGCCTTGATTAGTGCAATGTACTTTCTTGGCACTCCCTTCACAGTCAGACATTGCCATAGTACCTTTCGATCCACGGAGTCGAAGGCCGCCTTCAAGTCAAGAAATATGACAATTGTTGGACGCCGAAAAGTGTGTCTATGTTCTAGAATCTGTCGAAGAGTGAAGATATGATCTATGCACCCCCTACCTGGTCTAAAACCTGCTTGATTTTCCCTCGTCTGTTCCTCCCGAGTTCTGCTTAGTCTATGCATGATTACTGAGCCTAGGATTTTAGAGACTATGTTCGTTAGGCTGATCCCCCTCGTTTCAAATTACTGATAGCTTTTGTGACCTCACTTACAGACGGCGGACCAGTGTCTATATCCCATTCGGGTGTGTGTGGATGTCGGGGAGGTTCAGTGTGGCTGTAGGCAAGTTAAATTGTTCCTCAAAGTGTTCTTTCCAGCGTTCAAGGCGTCTATCCTGAGAGCTAATTAAGGAGCCATTTTTCTCAGAAATAGTCTCACTTATGATTTGCCTTCTCCCACCCGTTTCCTGATGAGTCTAAAGAGTTGCCTAGTGTTGCCTATCGCCGATGCTTTTTCCATCTCTTTTGCCTTTGTCACCCACCACTGTTCACGGTCCTTGCGGAGACTTTTAGTAAGTTTCCTTTTGTGCAGCTTTCGCTCCTCATTGAATTCGGAGCTCGCCGGAATAAGTCTTCTAGCATCTATCAGTTCGGATGAGGCAGTCGAAATCCAGTGGTTTTTACTCACCTTTGGATTTACCTTATTCACAGCTGTATCTATAGCTGACTGAATATTCTTCCAGGCTTCTCCAGGGTGAGCACAGCTGTCGAATTCAGATATGCGTTTAGCTAGTTCTTCCTCAAATAGGGATTTAGTTTCCTGATCGAGCTGGGGACGTGATGGTTTTACCGCCAGCTGTTTCCTACGTCCGTTCAGTCGTAAGCACACACGAGCCCGGACCAGTGCGTGATCGGTATCTACACACGTGTTCCAGAAGGAGCGACAATCTCCTACCGACCCACGCCAACGATAGCTTATTGCTATGTGGTCTATTTGTGTCCAGCGTTGGTTTGATGATGGGGGTCGCCAGGTTAAACAGTGTCTCTCCTTGTGTTTAAAGTTAGTGCTTACAAGAAACAAATGATTATCTGAACAGAACTGTAGGAGACGGTCACCGTTGTCGGTTCGCTGGCACGGAACTCCATAGGTGCCACCGACATCCTTCTCAGATTGACACAATTTCCCTACTTGAGCATTAAAGTCACCAGCTAGAACGACTATATCTGAGCGTTTAGCCTTTCTCACCAAACTAGACAGCTTTTGGTAGAACTCATCCTTCGTTTCATCCGAACTGCAGTCAGTGGGGGCGTAGGCGGAGATTACGAAAAGGCATCGGCGAGTAGTGCAGTCCTTTCTCCTTCTTACTGATCCGTTCAGACGGACAGCACACATTCGGCTATCTACCGGGATCCAGTCAAGCAATGTCTTTTCTGCCCTAGTACTCAAAGCTATCCCTACGCCAGCTAATCCTCGTGAACTAGCTGTGGCATCTCCTGACACCCTCAAGGTGAATTTTGAAGATTCATCCTGTTGGCCAGGTGGGGTTAGGTGAATAACCACACTTGGGTCTTGTATGCGTGTTTCTGAAACACAACATACATCAATGGCTCGGGATGCCAGGGTCTTAGCTAGTGATGCTTGTTGTCCTATTTGGCAAAGTGTCCTAACATTAAATGCTCCTATATGAAATTGGTGGCGTGGCTTTAGGAGACTATCGGTGGTGGTTTTTTGGCTTCTGTCGTTTTTAGTGGACACAGAGTGAAGAGGGAGTGAGGAGCCATCAAGTAGAGGAGTTGCATCAGTGGGAGGAAGGCAAGGTAATAGAGATGAAGATGAAGACAAAGATAAGTGAGGATTAGAGAGGTTTTGTGTGCATTTCGGATTGTGAGGGCGTTTGTTACTTCCCGGCTGCCCACACCGTGGAAGTTGGTTGCGTGACCGCAGAGCCCAGGGGACAACTGCTTGAGGCCGGTCACACGCGGCCTGTTTTTGTTTGTTCTCTTTTGTTTGGTGTGCCTCAGTAGCATACTTATCACTCCTGCCCTGTGACACGGCAGCAGGAAGCGCGGTCGTTGTTAATCCGGGCCACGGCCGATCCGGCATGAAATTTTGTGAATTTGTTTGAATCATGGTATTGGATGGGGTAGCTGCTTTTTGTTTAACCGCTATCCAAACAACCTGCCTGGCATGGTAGAACCTCAAGAGACATAAGTCTCAGCCAGTATAGCTTGATTAGGTCATTGCGGTGTTCAAGCCCGATCACCACGTCAAGGTAGCAGCTTTCGGTCGGGAAGGAGGAGGAGGCTGCTAGCCAATTGGTAGACATTAATTTACGTCAATGTTTATGTCCCAAATATTGGTCGTGAGAAAATATGAACAAGACTGATTCAACAACCAGTCACAGCAGATTTTGCGTAAGCAGATACAGTTAACATATAGATGACCTGACATTCAAGAAACAGTCAGAAAGAGATGCAAGATCAACTTTCTGTGAAAAACAACCAATCAGAAGAGTGTGTTTGTTTGCTTGAATAAGCTATATTAATATACATGATAAACGATCCGTTGCCTGACCCTTGTCTTCTGTTGTTACACTATGGGATGTTAATTCAGTAATAGCGTTCCTTTTATCTGTTTCATTTCGTTATTTGGTTTTTCTGACATCCTATTACTAGACACATAACTAAGTTCGACCTTACAAATCACATAAAGCCTGAATATCTGTTAGAGTTCTCCTGGTTTTTCATAGACACTGGTGAATAATTTACCTTCTGTTCGTTTCATTTTACAACCTAACCCGGTTAATTCGTCTTGTTCGTTTTCTAACTCAAGTGCACATTTACTTCCGTCTACTATTGAGTCTATATCTGTGAATAATCTAGAGAAATGCTCTGTTTTTAAGTCGATGAAAGTGTAATCCACGTATGTTTATTATAAATTTAGAGCTGGACTAAATGTTTTACGAGCCATATTTTCCTGACTATCGACATAAAGATATCTGTTGTAACTGGGGAGATTAATGATCCCATTGCTAACCCTTCTGTGTGTTTATACATTTTCCTTAAAATTTGAAGACAGTAGACGTGAAACAGTATTGGATTCTTAGAATAATTTCCTCAACGTATAGGTTTGTTCTGTGAATAAGTTCAGGATCACTCATTTTATTCTATTGACAGTTGTTGAAGCTTCTTTGTCAACTTTATCATTTCCTGTGCCATTGTTTTCTTCCATTAACTTATCAGACTTTCTTATTTGTACGTGTTTTGTCCTTCTAACAGCAAATTTTCTAGCTGTTTTGGAATGTTTTTATTTAAGACTTTGTAGTAGTAATAGTAGTTGTTGTTGTTGTTCATATCACATTTGAACTGCTCAGTCTCATTTGGCATTTTGATTAGTTTCCGAATAAAATTTCGTGAATTTCCCCTCTGAAGTATAATCTGTTGAAGTGTTCCACTGCTGCTGTTAGTTTGCTTGTTGTAATTCGAATACATGGACATAAGTATTTAGGAATTATATGGTTTTTCAAACATCGAGTATTGAACTACGATGATTTGTTGTGTTTCGTACTTCAGTTTGCGAAAGTCGTGTGTTTGTTGATAAGCTTCCTAATAGGAAGACCACATGTTTCATCAATATAAGAATAGAATTCAGGCACTGTGACACTGAGTTTAATTCCATCACAGATAAATTTGATTCGATAAAAATGTACAGTGTTACAGCATTATTTGCTGATGACAACAGATGCATGTATCATAATGAACAGTTTAGTTGCCTGAACCTAATGGACTGTCTAGTATGTTTAGACTTGTTTACACTAGGTCGTGATTGATACCAACGTCGGTATTGGTAAGACAAGTGAGTTTAACTAGGTCACTTTCTTCAATGTTGGTGAAAAAAGTGTACGGACGCGGATCCATTCACGTTGTTATAAGACCTAGATACGTGATGGGGTGAGGCTAACTGTAGATTGTAGTAGTCTAGGTGGTGTGACTCGCGTGAAGAATACTTTTCTGAGGTTGTGTTAGGGGGAAACATAGGTGGATTTTACTTAGTGAAAATGATGAACAGCAGCCCACGTAGAAAATGTAAGTCAGCACCCAGTTTATGAAGATGGATGAAGCTGCAACATACTGATTTTATGGAGTTAACTAACTAACTCAATAAAAAACCTGAGTGATAAAGACCGCAGTCCTTCCAGTGAATGTGTTATTGTTAAATCTAGCGGAAGTTTTCCATTTTGTGACCCATGAAGTCCGTCTCTGGATAGTCTCCAGTTCTCCAATCGCATACTTCTACCCAGAAGACAAATTATTTTCCGGGTGTATGTGAACAAAGTTTGATAGTTAGGTGAGAATGCCTTTATGTGATTATGAGTAATGAGTTATACTCGAAACATTGTGAGTAAATGATTCTGCATCGTTGTAGGTTTTGTGAAAGTAAATTATTCTGTCATGGCATTATACTTTACGGCGGTGCCTAGATTCATTTCTTATTTTATTGATATTTGAAATATTTAAACGATCACGGAATGTCAATCTATGCTTCTAAAAATCTTTGAACTCAATGCATTGTCGCTACCGGCATCGTTCATTACATCACAGCGTTTTTCGCTGTATTTGAGTCTCGGTGGCGATACATGGGGCTCATCGGTTCATGCAGTCGGCTTTCAGCCTATTGTTTTTTTAGGTTCGAAAGTTTTCCCACCAAATTCAGTCTGTTTAGTGTATGATCATAATGTGTCAGTCCTAGATTAGTAAATGAAAATGTGTACTGGATAACTGATTTCAAGCAAATACCAACAATAAACTTATTTTGCAGTGAAGGTCTATTATTAAATGATTACGTTATCAAGGCATAAAATTGCACTAGAGTGCACCATCTCAACTTGCTACGCTTCAGACTAGCAGAGTCGGATAGAAATGAAATGTATTGAGTTAAAATGGAATAATTTTAAGAAGATGTAGGTAGTTTTAAAGTTTGGATGATGACTAGTAGTGAATACATTTGCGCTGTATTATGATCCATACCACCAAAAATTTGTGAACATTGATTCTCAGCATTCCCAATAACCCAAACCAACAACTTTTTACGTCGATGGTATTCACAGTGGAAAACTTCATTGGCTGGTGGTATTTTTTTCTTCTGACAGCTCGTGGCTCTTTTTCAGCATAATCTTATATACCCTAACATTGTTTTTCGTCGCAAGACGGTGGCTTAGCATACGTAACATATGCTCAAGGCATCTTAATCGATGACCAACTTTCCTTCCTTACGTAGGACTGACTATATACGCCTACTCTGATCACTACTGGACTGTATTGTGCCACCAAGTACGAGATTCAACTTGGGCAATAATGGTGTATGACCGATAGCATATTTTTTAAATTGGTATTAATCCAGGTGAATTTGATTGAATGTTTTTTGTGATGTAAAGTTATGACCATTACTTTAGCTTTTATTAACTTGGTGTTTTATTTAGATACTTAATTGACTTTTTGAATAAGATAACTCATGTAAATGATAGTTTACTTTTTTTTTGTCACAGGTTTCTTTCATGTAGAAGATATCATGTTCTTGGAACCTCAACCCGAAAGGCCTATCGCAATCCATACGATTTCTCATGCTGATAGCAATCCTGCAGTTTTTCGTAGCTCAGGTCCTTGGCTTGGTATTGTTTGTGGTTTAGGCTTTGCGGGTAGTGGTCATGTTAAACCTGGACATTCAATGGCCCTTCAACTACTTGCTGATTGGATACGCTGTGCTGGGGACTTTGACGGTACACTGGAGTCCCATACAAATTCTGGTTTGGTCCGTCTCTTGATCTTAGGTGAATCGATTAAATCTTCAGGATCGACTATGGATGAAGATAGTGATAAGTGTACACCAGCTATGCGTCTTACACAACGTGTATGTTTAAATGGGATGTTCGTTTTTACGATATAAGTATGCTTTAGTTGTCTGTTTTAGTGTAAAAATGTCAAAGTTTGTATGTGGCAAATTCTCATGTTTTAGTAGCAAATTCTTTGAGGGAAACATTTTAAAGTCTAAATTTTAGTACTATATTTAAAGAAAAGTTCATTTTTACGTTCTATCCTCTCCTCCAATATTGAAAAGTGTAACAAGTTCGATGAATGCACTTTTGGCTGGGGTTTTGTATTCTACTTGTGGGTTAGTGTAATCAATATGAAATGGGAATCATGTGCTTCATCAAAACGTGTTACCATTTGTTCTTGTGTATAAAACTGTAATTCTGTAGGATATGATTGCGTCTGCTACTGTGATGCTGGATATATCGTCCATACTCAGCGTTTGCTATCCAAACGAATCATCGAACACTTACTTTTATGGTTTTATGAAGGAGAAGAAAATCCCCCTTTAGCTGTGCTCTAGAAAACATGACCGACGTCGAACGAACCTGCTAACCAACTACAGAATCATCTACAGATTACGCGGAAATCTTGCCAAACTTCTTCAAACCACACATTGGCAGCAGTCCACATGTTATATCGTAAACTCTGCGTACAGAAGGAGTTTGTTCAGTCACTGAATCGACAACGGACCTAATTTTTCTTAACGTATTTCTTGTTAATCCTGGTTTCTTATTTTCTTAATCTTATTATTTTCCTCCTCCCAGTATTACATGTCTATTTGATATCACGCTGATATTGATTCATTAAATTTCAGTAGAGTTCTGCTCAATCCCGTCCATTAAATTACGTCTCACACACCCCTTACTTGTTTAATTTCATTTTCGTTTCTACCCGACTATCTCTGTACGACGCAATTGTTATCTAAAATGTACGACTCTGGTGACACATCTTTGGAGACACTGCTTGAAATGATGTTTCTGAAAACAGTAACTCTCTGCCTACACCTTTTCTTTTATATGGCTCAATTGGGATTTTTAAATTGTTGAGCAGTTTTCTGCATTACTGCGGCAAAACTTACAGTAACGAAGACAAAGATACGTTTTTTGGGAGAATATAAGATTGTAAAAAATATCACACGGCGGCCTACTTAAATCAGTGGACTACCAGAATTTCCATCCATCAAAATGCTTAAACTCTTCAGCATTTCTTATTGTCTTAATCGTGCAATTATATCAAATAACCGCTACATAAACTCATGCGCATATATTAATAGCTTCCAACTGAACACTGTGTCATTCTTGAAGGAAATGAAGAAAAAGCGCTTTCTCTCTTCAACAGCAACAACAACGCCACGTCACATGATATACTTCAGATTATTACTTTACATGTAGGTCCTGTATGAAGAGGAAATATTTGAGAACAAAGTATGCTGAAAATTTCTGTACTATGTGGTCACATATTGTCTAAAATATAGCCTTATCGTTATTACTGCTAAATACATCTCAAACCATTTGAAGTGCACATTATTCATCGTTATATTCTGATGTACCAGTCCCTTATTTAAATTGTTACAGCAGTGTAATGTTTGACGTGTAATTGTGAAAGGAGCCATAGGTGTTGAAGTTTGCTATTTTTGGTCTCTTGTTATGCAGTTACTGACAGTAATAGTGATGTTTATTGGATACTAGTTATTTTTATTTTCACCTGTAATCTTGGGTTTATTCTCTTTTTCACCAGGCTCGCTACTTAACTCGTAATGCAGATGCAGAAACCGTTACTGCTATGGCTCGACTAGACCAATGGCTGGCCAGTCTTCCCATTGGACCAGGATGCAACAATGGTAGTGCAGCTAGTAATGGTATTGCCATAGATTTACTACCTGGCCCATCCGATCCTACGTCATTACTCATGCCTCAACAGCCTATTCATTCAGCTGCACTACCTTGCGCTGTTTCCCGTTCAGGTGGTGTCGGAAGTGGACATTTATGTGGTCGTACTAATCCGTATAGCTTTCTATTCGAAGGTCGACGTATTCTTGCTACTTCTGGTCAGGGTGTTAATGAATTGTATAGGTAGGATTTTTAGCTTCTGTGTTGAACAATTTAATGCTTTTACATTTACATACTTTTCAGTTCATAGATAATTCTCTTACACTATTTCCTAACTACTTATTCCCTTTGAGTGAAAAGTAAAGTGACATAAGATTTACTGAGTTTATTGATCATCCAATGTCCAGTGGTAGTAATTAACTTTCCGCCTCGTTTCTGTGAAATATTTGTCCTCGCATACGCATATACAATCTTTTTCTGTGTGATACCTAGATCTCTGTCGTCAGACGTAGTATTACTCTCCACCTAACTAGATTACTTTTTTATAGTTAGGTGGAGAGGAGTTACTCGCTGAATCTGTGTTCATCGAATCGGTGCCAAACACATGTAGTCTAAATGACACAATGCCTATACCTGACATGTCGGGATTACGATGAATAGCATGGGGACGAGAAATATATATATATATATATATATATATATAACGAATTATGAAGCCGTATGCATAAATTCATATGATTATGAACAAGCATAAGGTGTACAATGAATGTAAACTTTCTGTTCAATAACGAAATACATAGACAGTCAGATGGTGTTGCCATGGGATCACCAATAGGCCCAACCTTAGCGGATTTTTCTACGGGCGAAACTAAAGAATGGTCCTCTTGAAGATGTAATATATAATCTTGATTTCTATTGCCGACATGTCGATGATGCATTTATAGTTGTGGAGAAAGAAAGAGAGACTAAGGAAATATTGGATAAATTCAATGAAGCACATCCTGGCGTAAGCTTCACTAAAAAAGAGGAAGAAAAGGACTCTATCTCCTTTCTGGATGTCCTAATGACTAAGCGAACAGACGGAACAATATATATACTTTTCCATTGAAAGTCTACTTCCACTGGATAATATACTGACTTCCTGAGCTTCGTACCTCTACAATATGTACGTAATCTAGTTAGATGTTTGGTTCACCGGGCTAGAGTTATCTGTTCCATTCCTATCTAACAATTGTCAACTAACGACAATATTGCTCACCTTATTGTACAACCTAGGACAGGATCTGGAACACGGACACATATCGTGAAATATAGCTAACCTATTGTGACGACTTGAATTGGTGCATTTCTGTGGAAAGTTCTTTGTTGAAGCCGGTCAGTGAATCAGAAAGACTTGTGGAAAAGAATTTTTGTTTTTTCGCTGTTATATATTCTTTTGCTTATCACATCATTGAAAATATAAGTTAGAATTATGCTAAACAAAGCAACAAGCTGGCAGAAGAAGCATCAAAGATAGGGCTTCAGATGAACATAGAGAAAACAGAGGTGATGAAGATTCCTGGCCAACAGCAACAACAACAACAGACAACAATCAGCCAGCATAAATGGGAGGAAGCTGAAAGAAACAACCTCCTTTACCTACCTGGGAAGCATCGTTTCAAGTACAGGCGGACAGAACTGACGAGGATATCAAAGCAAGGATTGGAAAATCAAGACAAGCTTTCATTCCTCTCAAGTCTGTGTGGAGGTCAACAGCACTCAACATCAAAAATAAGATCCGGATTTTCAACTCCAATGTGAAGTCAGTGCTACTATACGGATCAGAGACTTGCACTGCGCGTCATAAAGAGCATCTCAAACAAATTACAAACCTTCATTAACAGTTGTCTTCGCTCAATACTCAAGATCAGATGGCCAGGAAAGATCAGCGATAGGGATCTCTGGCAATGAGCGAACCAACCAGGAACTGATTGTGAAAAAAAGGCAGGAAGAAATGGAGATGGATTGGCGGGCCATGCTCTGAGGAAACCATCAAGTGACATCACTAGACAAGCCATTGCTCGAGTGGAACCCGAAAGGGAAGCGGCGAGTTGGTCGTCAGTTCAAGGGTGACTTGAAGGAGGTGATGTGAAGAGGAAATGAAAGCATGTGGGCAGACCTGGAGCTGAGTGAAAAAGTTGTCAGAAAACTGAAAGCAATGGAGACGCGTGGCTGAAGCCCTATGTTCCTCTAGGAATTAAATGATATAATAATAATAATATGCTAAACAATTAACTAACCTCTCCGTATATTTTATAATCAGTAGTGATCTAAGTTTTAAGGGAATAGAGTTGACAACATTTCTCTTCCATACATTTACGTGTGTTTTTATGAAGTGTGGCAATTTAATGTAGATTTATTCACTTTAATCCATATTAGCGCATTTATAGTAAGGTATTCAGTCAGACGTTTACGTTACTACGAACAATTTAAGCCCATGTCATCAAAGGTTTTTCACCCTTACTGTTTAGCAAGCAAATTTCCATTACTCCTTTCGTTTCCGTTTAATCATTATATATATATATATATATATATATATATATATATATATATATATATATATATATATATATATAATACGATAAATAGGTAAGTAAGTACTCGAAGTAGCCTGATATATTAGTCACAAATTAATTGCCACGTTTACACTCAGTTAATTTCCTATAGTTTGGTTTGTAAGGTTTAGTTATGTTTATACGAGTTTATTATGGATTGATATCCGTTAGAGAACCACTGAAAACTAGCAGGGAGTACTGGACTGCTGTCTCATCCTAGTTTGGGAATCACCTGCAGTACGTACTCATTGGGATTCGAACCCACGGCCTTCCGGTTACAAGGCAAGCTGGCTCGTATACCATTCAGCCACTGGGACCCGATTCGCTGGCTCATGAATTCTAACTTCTACCAATTCGTGATTTAGCGCAACCGGAAGGTCGTGGGTTCGAATCCCAGTGGGTGCATACTGCCGATGATTCCCAAACTAGGATGAGACAGCTGTCCAGTACTCCCTGCTGGTTTTCAATGGTTCTCTAACGGATATCAATCCGTGATAAACTCAGTTTATTGTCTATTATTCAAAATATACTATATTCATTATTCGTTTTGCTAGATGGTTGGAGGCAGTCGTCAGGAAGTTTTGAACCTACGGTTTGTCCTCACTGACACTCAGCAGTCCACCAAGATGTCTATCTGCAATCTCGAAGGAACTTTTGATTTTGATTGATTTTTGATTTACAGCTTGATTCCACACTGTATTTTTGGTACAAGTATGGAATTTTCAGCATGGATATCGGTAGCCCAAATTTTGCAGGCCGACCATAGATATCAGGTGTGCGCCGGCGTGGGCTCGAACCCCGGACCATGTGCATGGTCGGCGAGAGTCCTAACCACTGTGCCACCGACGCACTTATGTCCCTTCTCAGATTCAAACCTGGATCACTCTGTGCTGTAATCAGAGACGGTATCACTGAACCAGTTGGACTGGCGATTGACCTCTTTCAGGTTTATAATGGGTGATAGTATGATACTAGGAATACCTACAATGGTGGCCACACTTCAAACTTGACTGATAAAATTCAGTCTGCACCAACACTAAGGACTAGATGCACAACATTAGTTAATATATAGTGTCCAATCGAAGTAACATTGCTTATTTTGTTTGTTGCGAGTGAACTTGTTCATTTGTTATCTGCCTTTAGCATAGTTAATGATTATTTCAATATGTATAATGATATAATATATATTATTAAGCATCTCACAATGGATAACTGTTGCTTTGTTATTTTGTTTATCCTCCTTGTTTGTTAGGTATACAAAATTAGAGAAGGCTTGTGATCGAATGGAAGCCACTTTACTTTGGGGTCATTTAGCACCTACTTGCCCTGATACCTTACCAGGCTATCCAATGATTGATAATGATCCCCTGCTTTTTCACTCATCCTATTCTACTGAATTTTCCAATAATATTAGTCATGATTATCCTGATATATATATTGCTGGTTGTCAACCTGAAACTACTCCATCATGGCGACGTGCTAGATTACATTGGAATGAAGAAATCAGTGAAGATAATTCAGGTGCACTCTTAGTATCTGTACCACGTTTTGATGCATCCTATTCTATTGTACTTATCAATTTAAGGTCACTTGAATGCCGTGTAGTTCGTATCGATTTAAGCCTATTAGATGAATAAGATAAATTAATTGTTGAAAGTCTCTCTTTCTCTTTTTTTGGCATTTCTACTCTTGTATATTTACGTTTTTTGATGTAAATGCTTGCACGCATATCCGACTTATTTGTTTTGTTTACAGTTTATTTTTATAAAAGAAAGATTTTAGTATTGAAATACATATAGAAATTTGCACACAGGCTTTTTATGTCTTACAGGTGTATATTTCTCTCGAAATCCTAGTTAATTATGGAATCTGTAAAATGCTTCAGTTGACCTGTACCTCGTAACATTGTTATAGAAAATGACTGATTGGCTTCAACATAGAAATTTCTACAAAAATGCACCAGTTCAACTTGCCACATTCTATGTAGCACACAAAGGGAGACAAGAGAGAGAGAGAGAGAGGGGGGAAGATTCGAAAGAATAATAATAAGCATAGATGTGAGGGATGAAGACTAGTAGTAACACGGTTTAAACAGTAGTGTTTAATGGGTACTGCGGACCACAAAGAGTGAATACATCTGCGCCAGCCATTGAGAGGTATTTCGAATCATGTCATCAGTTGTCTCCAGCCATTGGTTCTTAGAAAATCGCGAAGATTCCAACCAGGAAGTCTACACCTGTGTACGTGGCTTGTTCAGACCACTTGTCAAAGATTTCATCGACTGATTCCATGTTTTCGTTCGTCCACCACTGGCTCCTTTCTAACCTGATCCTATGTTAGCTAATACTGTTCCTCGAGGAAGGCGATGGTTAGTCATGCGTGACGCATGTACTAGCCATCTTAGTCAATACACCTTCACAACCTCATTGATTGATTATCCCTCCTAAGCAAGCATTTGACTCCCAACATCGATATAGTTCACCTTATTGCGCTATCTAAGACAGGAGATAGCACATGAGAACCGTATCCTCTTTGCGTCTAATATTTATGAAAGTATATGCGAATTTTTCACTCAGTTTCCTACAGCCGGTTCGCTTTATTAGTTTGAATGAAGAAAGAAAAAACATATTTTCAGTTTTGATGATACGAGCTCGTTTTATTTTTGTGGATTCTCCTCAACTGCGTACATCCTAAATAAATGAGAACTACAGAGTTAATTTATACATATTATGGTGGAGAATTCATGAGGGTGGAGTGGATAGTGAAGTAAAATCATAAAGTAGGTAAAATAATTTAGTTCAGTAGATTTGAAGCCTTATTAGTGAGTTGAACTGAGTGAGTTAAGATCAAAATTAAGATTGAGTGGAATGTTTGACTGACCTATTTGGTTGGCCTCACAGTCAATACATGATATTCGTTAAATTATATTTTTCCTCTTAACCGGCTGGATGTATCGGGTCCTCAAGCCGACAAAGTTTATCTCTGAGAGAGTTGGCTTGTCTACACGCCATCCTAATTCCAGTCTCAGTGAGAATCCTAGGTAAGACCTCTGACATTTTCCCTTCTTTATATGACACCACTACAGATACTTCAAATTCTATATTATCTTTGACATTTTCATTCCATGGTTCCTCATGCACTCCTGAATAAACTTTGGTAAGTAGCTATTGGCCAGTATTATTTTCTATGATTGTTTGGTTTCACTGTTAAGTCCTGCGACTTACTAATTAGGCTACTCACCCAGATTATATAGACATTTAAATAAACATTCTGGTAGCTTTCCAAAGACCACGTAAAATGAACACCGGGAATCTTATTTGAACTGATGAATATATATATATATATATATATATATATATATATATATATATATTACGATACAAACCAGAGTAACTAAATTTGTATGATTATCAGCCATCCTTTATGCTCGAAACATAATCCGTTTATAAGCACTGCATCACTGCGTAATATTTGAAACAAACTTAACTGTTATGGAATTACTATCTTATTTGATTAGCCGATTCCGTAATTTCAGTACAAGGATCTCTGGTGTGTCACGGAAAGCATTTCCAATATATTGCAGATTTATATCAGTTTCCGCCTTCACTGGCTCCATACTGAAGATTAGATGGACGGTTGGAAAGAATGAGGAGACTGTCGAATGACATGAGGTGCCAGGCCATAGTTCGAGTGGAAACTGAGTCCGAAGCAACGGCTGCAGTGTCCGACAGTGATATCGTGGAGAACGCATAAGGAGAAGATCAGAGACCACGGGAAATCCTGAGAGGAGAGGCAGAGGACCGTAGTCAGTAGGACAAAGTGGGCATATGCTGTGGAAGTCCCATGTTCCACTCGGCACACATTGGATCAACAATCATATTTAATAGAAGTAATAGTGATACCAATCATTGATTTTATGTTTCCATCACTATTTTATTCCTTTGCCTTCTGGGTGGAACGTAGGCCTTCCAGCTTCAGCTTACAAGTCTCACCAGCAGTGGTGTCTAGCTTTATTTACGGGGTGGAGTCGCTAGCTTCACGCCGAACTTCCCCTCACCAATAGACTTACTACCAGCTTAGTGGGATTTAGGAGTGTGTCTTCCGGAGATCGAACACCGTGTAGAATTAGATTTGACTACAGATATCCTTTACTCACTATCAGTACTCACGAGACAGAATCTAAGCCTCATTATAGTTGCAAGTAAGATGAATTAACGTAATCTTTGTCTGTCTCTAAAATATAGAAGAATAACAAAATTACACAAAGAGAGCAATAGAAAGGCGAATGTCGTTCAAGGAAGGACAAAGGCACAGAGAGGAGGATTGTGATGTGTGCAACCGAATGGTTAGTGAATTACATTTACGTACAAACAAGAAGTACAACACAATACTCATCCAAGGTCGAAGTGAGTGGTTGGAGTTTGCATTAAAATAACCAATAATCACATGATAATCACGAGACAATCAAGGTCAGGTCAGGCAGATTGGTGGACTGTCATAGATAGTGTCTGTCAATCGCGATCATGACCCCGAACGAAGTTCGTGCGTGGTTAGTGGGCGTTCCATCGCTGAACCACCGACGCGATAATCTCTGGAGGGTCACTTATAACATTGTACAGAATGCAAACATAGAACACAACAGTCACAACATTTACCTTCCATGCACTAGCTGATTAAACCAAACCACAAAGGGTATTCAATTTTCCACTGATTTGATTTCAGTAATTGAAATTTCAGTAGAACTGTGCCATTCTCTTTAGTCAACGCATAATCTACAGCAAAATGGATGTTTTATACTTGGTAAAATTACAGGGTAACATTTAGGCTAATTATATAATCAAAACATGTTATTTGTATCTTAAAAAATGTTACCATTTATAGGTCCGATGGGGTGTTGTGAGAGCGAAGGAAAGATAGATGGATGGATAGATAGATAGATAGATAGAGAGAGAGAGAGAGGGAGAGAGAAAGTGAGAGACACAGACAGAGAGAGGCAGCGAGAGAAAAACAGGTTTGGTTTATTGGAGATTCTGTGGTTTATTTCAGTGTATCAATTTGAGCGCGAATAATTCCAGTGAAAGTAATGGATGACCTACGCCTGAAGTATGGCTTTGTTATTGGGGTTGTTGGCATAGCAGCTATTCTTGTCAATGCTTTCATCGGTTCGTTATGGATGACTTATCTGTTTGCATGGCACCTCAAGAGGCAGAAACATCAAACTACTCATGCATGTAGTCAAATACGAGTTGGGAGTGACTTTCAGCAAGATTGGCCAAAATGTTCACTACCCATCTCGGAAAGGTTTCACATGTTTCTCATTGTCGTCTCGAGCTTCATTCTGCATCTTACAAACGCGGGTAGAGTAGTATACTTGTGCATAACTGGAGTCGATATTCGTGCGAAATTCGGAGAATGCTTCTGTCGAACTCACATATTCTCATGCAATTTGCTATTCGATATTTCTGCATGGAGTTTTGCATTTCTTTGCTTAGAGAGATTCTCTATCATTATTCTGTTCGGATCAAGTTATTCTGCTGCTCTGAATTCAAAGACGTCTCTCATTCTTCGCACTCTACTTCTGTCAGTAATCTGCTTGTCAACCAATATACAACCAGTGTTTTCAGACGAAGCTATCTGTGATTCGTACTACTACAGCACAACTCTGTTTTACAGCAAGTTCATCATAAGCATATTCTTGCCAATCGCTATCGCCATAATATCCTCCACTTTGATTATTAAAATGTGTCACAAACGTGACATCACAGTCAACGCTACTCGTGGTCCAGTTATCTTAACGGCCGAATATTTTCACAGATTATCTGAACTGTCAATGCATAACATTTATGCTGCTAAATTAAGACTGATAGCGGCTTGCTCATTTCCTATTTTCCAGTCGGTGCTGTTCATGTTTACAAGGCTAAGCGACAATTATTGTTGTTATTTTGTGTTCAGGAAACAATTGAACATTGAAGATTATTTCTACCTCTCTTTAATCCTGATGTTTTGTGTTCTTAATACCTTTAAAATGTTTCTACTCACGTTCTGTTCACCGAAAGTACACAGTGATATTCACATTATCGTGGCTCTTATATGGAAGTGTTTGTGTGGACGCTTCATGCATAGCAGTTGAATGTGCAGAATAATTGTACTATGTACATGATTACAATGACATGTGATTAGGAATAAATATGTCGTGTTTTGAACAAATTACACAAGGTATGTGACTGACCGTCCGTGTTATTTATATCCCATGATGTTCTCTCATGATTATTTACACATTCACTGGAATGATGCATTCTAGGTCATTTGTGAGACGTATGTATGTTGCACGAATGAGTTTGAATCATTTTTCACCTCATCCCCTTTGTCTGTTTGTTTCATTCCAGTGAAACTAGTTCTGTGATTCATAATTGTCATTCCATGATTATATTTTACGCCGACAATTCACAAATATCACATGTGGTGTAGTATTTTGACATGTAATTTGTACATCTATTTGTTAACCTGTCACAAATACACGAATTGAATGCAACGCTTTGTTTCGTTTCACGAAGTAAGCAGTTTCACAGAACATATTTTCAGAAAACCATCTCCCGAAGCACTCAGTCTTTCTTCACTCATTCACATAATTCATTGCATATTTTATGCGTAGAAGCTGTGGACAGCCGTATGAATAATAAGTGGTCAATTTGTTTATTCGGTATCACTGTGAGTTATATCAAGTAATGTGAAATTATACAGTAGTGTGAGTATCGGAATATTGTCGATGGAGTGAGTATCGAAACTGGTGAATTTAGACTGTAAGAAG